TTGTATTAGACCCGTCGTCCATTTATTTGTAAGTCAATGATTTATATCAACAGTTTTAATTTCAAAGAGATTTCACAGCCTATCTTCTTTTAACGTTATAAAAATTAGACAAAAAACAAAGGCAATAAGTATATATATTTAATCTTATTGCCAGAACATAGTAATCATTGGATGTACATACCTAAATGATAATTGATAACAAAGAACGTAACGAAATAAAATTTTAATGTGATCTTTTCATTAGGCACGAAAAACAGAATTACTAGAAATAATTATGCGACTATCTGTAATTTGTACCTTTATTTTGCACGGGTGTACAAATTATATTTATTATATTTTATTTGCCCGATATTACGCTTAAGGAATTAGAAAGGGACCTCGTCAGAAACGGAGTTACGAGGTTTTCAAATTTTGCCGACAATTTGTGACGGGGATTAAAATAAAACTTGTAAATGCCGCAGATTATAATTAAATAGTCAGTTTTTAAATATTTTAATTGAACAAAATTTAAAAAATATTGATTGAAATATCTCTACGCAGAGAAAACTTTGTGTTTTTTCGTGTTACGAGTCGTGCTCGGAGGTGAGACATCATCGGTAGAGAAGAGAGAATATATATCTACGCGCTTAACTTTTGTCTACTTCTCCTCATGCTAAGCCAGCAAATAGTTATAGTGTTTTTTTTATTGAGGCAGTATCTGAGAAACTGTCTTCGGATCTTTTTTAATACAGTTAAGTCAATGACAGTTGCTCAAGACGTGGTACTTTTCGTACTACAAATCGAGCCGATAGTTGTATTTTTCGCACTTTTCCATTTTTTTTCAATTTACTTATGTTTCAAGTCTTAAACAAAGAACTAAAGTGGTTGTATATTTATTTAATATTCATGTGCTTTGTGACGTAAGTCATTCATCGTTAAAGCTTGTATTTACTAACATCTTATTTGTTTAAATTGCATAGGTGTTTTATAAAACAACGTGTTACATTTAAAAATACCAAAATATTTAACATAAAGATGGCTGATTGAGTATTAACAATGACCCGAGGTGAGTATTACGCGAGACCGCTGCGCGTCGCGCCACTAAAATAGTAATTTTAATGTGGCTGAATACTGGCAACAGTTGCCATTGTACCTATGGAAACCATTGTACTATGAATTTTCGACAGACAAAGAAATAAAATGAGTTTTTTTTAAATACTGTTTTATTTTACTTTCAATGTAGTTTTGTCGCAAATATATCTACAAAACGTCGACACGTGAGGATTTGTCATTTTCACTTGTCTCGAGTCTTTGTACGAAAAAGCCTCGAGACTCGTGAATAATGACTAACTTTCCGCACTTGTATCAAAAATAACTATTTCTCTTTTTTGTGAAAACAATTTTGACATCGTCAATCTTTTGATTAAGCGCGTTAAAAATTTCCTTTATTTTTTTCCATCCTCTAAACTAAAAATTATTTTTCTAGTGATAGACTTGGTTTTGTGTAAGGATAATTTTATTGTATTGGAAGAAAAAATCGTGACAGCAGAAGTTGGTCAAATTTAATAAGATTTTTCATACTAAATGAGTAATATGAAATTATCCTATGTAATAAGAAACTGAGTCTATCAGCATTTAAAAAAAATTGTCAATTTTATTCATTTTGTACGAAAGAACACTTTATTAAATTTGACCAAACTTGTGTCCTGACTTTTTTACAATACAAATTAAATCTTCATTTTGTTGACAACTCACGCTTGACCAAAAAATTTACCACGCCAACATTGTTTTCACACAACATACAAAAAAGACTTCAGAATGGTTCTGAAAGGTCCTGTTTTTCCTATGGTTTCGAATTTCCCATATGGTCCCAATTACAAAAACCACTGTAATACACACACTAATAAACATATTCTCGTTTTTAGATGGATAATTAAGTATTACCTTGACTCTTGACCACTCTGCTCTGGAGCAAAGATAGGATCTACGATGGAACGAGCTCGCCCAGAAGATGTCTATTCAGTCCGTATACTCGGGTTGTAGGAGTTCGGAAACAGTCGCAGGCAGGGAATTCCATTCCTTGGTTGTGTGCATAATTAAAGATAATCAAAAGCGCTTAGTATCTACCTTTGAAGGGAATATCGACTAAGTAAGGATGATATTCCGCAATGTAACTCAAAATTTGTGAAATTCAAGATTATACCATTTCTGAACATAAAATTTATTTCTCTACACGTCAAAAAATTGTCGTTAGAATATTGTAAGAAACCATTTAAATATATCTACTTAGCCCAGAATGAGACAAAGGTTTTGTGAGCTACTTCTGGACAAAAGAGTCCTTACTCAAAAATATGAAATATTTTTTTACTTTTATTTTTAAATATACTTCTAATTGGCAAGTAGGACTTGTATAGATGTCTAATACATTTTAACCTAACGTAAATTATAATATACCCTTCATGGGAACTGAGTAATTCGTTTTTCAGCTATTCTGAATAAATTCACTTTTTGAATTAATGAGTATTAACTCAAAAAGTGAACAATAGCGTATTGTATTAGCAGTGCGATATTTATACTAAAACACTCCAATAGATACTTTGGACATATTGTATACCTTAGATCTTAGGAAATATTTAGTCGTTGTTTGCAAGTGTTCTAGTAAGTCTCCAGTAACAATATCATGTTTACCATAATTAAACACATAAAAATAAAAGTCCAGACATTGACAAGATAAGGGTTAGGGATCTGCAATGCATAAGCTCGGACATAACACCAGCCATAACTCATTTAATTAACTATTGTTTAGCCACATCCTCGTATCCCGACAACTTAAAGACCGGCATCATCAGACATATTGATGAAAAACGACCTTATAATGACGTAAACAATTACAGACCGATTACAATACTTTCTAGCATTGACAAAATAGTGGAACGGTACTTAAGACACGAAATTAATATTTTTTTAATAAAAAATGACATAATTTAATGATAAACAATACGGCTTCCAAAGAGGCTACAGTATTTCCCAACTTCTGTCTAAGTTCACTGATGAGGTCAACGGGTACCTGAACGCTCGCGAAGAGGTGCTCGTTGTCTTTATCGACTTCAGCAAAGCAGTCGATACTTTACGGTACAGGGGGTCTACTCTCGATCTCCGTCCGACACATCCGTCCGAAACAATTAGGTACTGCCAAATAAGCAATACTTGACCAAATGAAAAGACACGTGATGCGAATGAAGCTTCATACTTGATACTTGTCTTTTAATTTTGTCGAATATTACTTATTTGACAGTAATTGTTTCGGACGGATGTCGGACGGAGATCGAGAGTAGACCCCCAGTTTAGGACCTAAAATGAATTGTTGTGAGACAGTATTTTAGGTTATAGTAAACTAAAGAAACAAAAAAAAAACAGTTTCAACATTCAAGCCATACATTTGCATGTCGATAATGACTTATCGATAGATTATAGTACAACACTAAACAAATCCGCCATTTGTAACTTTCAAATTTTGGTTATATGCACGTTGATTCTGTAGTTAGGGCTTTCTTTTATTTTTTTTCCATCCTCTAAGTTTTTACCAGCACCACACCCCGAAGGCGACGCGTGGGTAATCGAAAACTGTCAACCGAATGCGGTTGCATTAGTGTACAAATCGAGTCGCTCTCGGTATAGTGATGTGAACAATCTTTAATAAAACATTTTATTAATTTAAACAGGACATAAATTCAACAATCATGGTCGCATAACTTTCAATACGTGAGGCTTCAAAGATTTTAACAATGTTTCATCATGTTGTGACTTTCTATGGTTGTGTTTCACGTGGCTTAGCATGTTACCCCGTTGCGCATAGCCTCTGTGGCAAATAGGACATTTGTATGGGGTTTCCCCTGTATGTAGACGCATGTGTTCCTTTAAATAATCTGCGTGGAAGAACTTCGCATCACATACTGTGCAAACAGCTGGCCGCTCACCTGAAACATAGACATAAATAGATTTTAAACTGTTTCTAGATACGATTCAGAATAAATGATACCTTTATCTTATCGACAGGGAAGTCGTATGTATATCTCTAAGACTAGAGTAAAAGCTATTTATATTTAGAAAAACCTTTACTTCAGTCGGTTTTGGCATCGAGTTGTTATTACGATGATCCCCTATAGACCAGGGGCCTTACCTCTTATTATAATTCAGGGGGTCTACTGTCGATCTCCGTCCGACATCCATCCGAAACAATTACTGCCAAATAAGCAATACTTGACCAAATGAAAAGACGCGTGATGCGAGTGAAGCTTCATACTGGATACTTGTCTTTTAATTTTGTTGAATATTACTATTTGACAGTAATTGTTTCGGACGGATGTCGGACGGAGATAGAGAGTAGACCCCCAGTTTAGAACCTAAAATGAATTGTTGTGAGACAGTACTATATGAAGTGTATTTCACCATCCCGCTTTTTTGTCGTTACGAACCTATACTGAACTGTAATAAGAGATCATGGTAAGGCCCCAGATCCGAAATAAGCTGCTCTAATATTAATAAAAATAAATTTACACGCTTGCATTTTGTAATATTCATTGATACAATTACTTTAGGGTTAATTCAGTACCTACTTATGTAGTATATTAGATAATATGTGCCTACAGCTATATGTATAACAAACTTGACATTTGATTTGGGCCCGGTCTTATACCAAGAGGTATAAAGTTGAATTCAAATCTTAAGTGCCGAGCTTGACATGCTCTTGACTCGGCACATTGGTAAAATTTTTGTTCTTATTGTTATATAATTTTAATACCTTCAATGCAGACGATCGTTTTTTACGAAAATGTAATATTCATACATACATACATTGGTTGTTCACGGACTAGTGTTCACTACCTAATTTCCATAGCAATTTTTATTATTTAAATACTCAAGTGTATTATTGTGTAATTATTAAATAATATTGCACGATACAATACCTGAATATTAAATAATCGTCTCAGCTGGAAGACCTCCACTGCTGAACATAGGCCATAGAAATATTAAATAACAATACACAATAAAAAAATCGAATATTAAATAAAAATTAAGTAGTGAACACAAGTCCGAGAATGACCGACATATCATCACACCTGTCTCCCACTGTGGTAGGAAGAGACTATGGACCTTCACTTGTAACGCTCCTGACAAACCTCCTTCACCTCCTACACTCAAACCTCCTTCGCCTCTTCAGACATGCTTGTTTATTCCTGGCACTTGGTTTTAATCCAGTCAGGTTAAACATACCAAAAATTTTTCATGTACATACTCAATGTGATCGAGACATGTACATGGAGGTCTACTTCTCCCAAAGCCTGTATCCACATACGCTTTGTATTTGATATTCAACCCATTATAAGAACTTTACAGGACATTGACCAATAGAAATGAAATCAGAATATAAATAATTTAAGTACATAAAAACATTATAATTAAATATTGTACATAAAGTTATTAAAATGGGTAGAATATCACATTTTCCTATAAAACAAGTTACCATGATCTGCATTGGAGCAACAATTTGTTGCAGATACTCGGAAAACTAATTGATTATACCTGTATGTGCAGATCTGGTGTGTATAGTCACAGCCACACCGTTCTTGAAGGATTTTCCACAAATTTTACAATAAAACAGCTTGTTTCTAAGTTTCTGTTTATTCTCTTCATTGTGAACATTTTTGTAGTGAGTGTTCAGGTCTTTGAGATACGCAAATGCATGGCCGCATGCAGAACACATGAATTTCTTTCCAATCTGATTGTGGACTCTTGCACAATGATGGTCTAAATAAAGCTGTTGTTTAAATGTCCGTGGGCACATAGTGCATTTATATTGTTGCGTATTTATATTGACTAATTGTAAATGTCGTTTTAAAGCAGTCATACGGTAAAAAACTTTTCCGCAATGATCGCAGAGACCGGTGTTTTCATGCTGTTGTTTATTTCCATTTGTTCCATTTTCTTCTTGAAGTTTTGTTATTACATTCTTGTGTCGGGTGAGGGACACATTTTTATTTATCTTTTCATTTAAATTGCTATTTCTAAACTTGTGTGACGATTTTCCATTTTCTTGCAATTTTTTTTCTTTAACATGACTGGAATGGAATTTAGTACAGTTATTATGAATACAAACACACATCAAAAGTGTCAAGGGATCAAAGTTTTTCTTTTTTTATATTTGATCACCCTATTAAAATTAAATAAAGTTATCTAAAAACATATCTAAATTAAATAATTTAGATGTAATATTTAGAAGTAATGCTAACATTACTGCTTGGTGGCAGAAATAGGTAAGATGACACTTCCCTGGATGAACTCTTTCACAAGGGGGCCTTGGTGTGGTTATTTGGCACACTATATTATTATTTTGGGTATCTATTTTATACTCTGGCTTTTCCCATGGCCTAAGAGATAAATTTTGTATTTTTTTAAATAGAGAGGCAGTATTCTCCGGCAATGGCACAGTCGGCCGAAGACAGAACTTAAAAAACCGGTGAATACTGTGCCGGCAGTGCCTCAATCATTGTCCAGATTCTAGCTAAAAGTTCACAATGTCTATTTGACATGAAATCCTGAATTGTAAGTTTCTTTCAACTTATACCTTATGTGTTGTATTGTTCTTATGCAGGAGTGTGCATTGGTGAGTTTTTTATGTATTATTAACCATAACATGCTGCAGAACAAAAAATAATCAAAACTTTGAAAAGAAAATTGATAAGTTAAGACTGATCGGTGCCATGCCAGATTGTAAAGATTTGATGTGCTATTGAACAAAACTTAAAATCCAGTGTAATATTGGCTAGCATCAACACATAAGGGTTAAAGAGTAGACAGCATGTATCATGCATTTACCTCCAGCGTCCTCCAGTCCAAGTAAATTTTCCTTCCAACAAGGATGATGCAATGCGACTAGTTCTATTTGTATAATTTTTACTTTTATGTCTTTGCGATTTTACGCTTCCTATAGCGTCTTTACATTTTTTACTAATTTTAATTGTGCTTTTAACTGTCTTTATTTGTTGTTTAGTATTCCCGTCTTTATTACTGTTGGTATTGAGTGTAAATTGGTCTGTATCATCATTATTATGTTCAGTGAAGTCAAAGTCCTCACAAGTTTCATTCTTCAAAATTTCTACAGTAATTTCTTTCTTTCCTGCAAGTATGTCCCAAGGAGATCTATACTCTGTGTTCACTTTGCCTTTAAATATGTCACACGGCTCTTGGAATTGATCAATTTCTATTGGTTCTTGTTTAATAACTATTTCTAGATTTTTCTCTAATACTATACATGATTCTCGGAATTTGTTTATGAAGTCGCAAGTTTTGTCTAACATAGTATTACAGGTTTCACATATTTTCTTTGGATAGCTATCAACATCTTCTATCTGAAAATCAAGTATAGATAAACTTTTTTCAGAAAATGGAACAGAAGAATGAGGTATGTTAAAAACTCGTGCAAATTAAATTTGAAAATTTATTAATACTGAATGTAGCAGGGCTGAATGAATGATGATATTTCGTCACTGGGTGAGTGACAAATACAATTGTTGATATTCCGCCATTGTTGCCTTTTTTACCTTATATTTTAGATAAAGATACTAATTAAGTACTAATTACCTCCCCACCAAAACATTGCGACATTTTTGACAAAATACTTGAGAATGAAGATTGTTCTTCTGTCTGAAAAATTGGCAACGTAGCTCCATTTTCAAGGCAAATTCTACACAAAGATATTAAATCAGCGTGCATATTTTAAATGCGACGTGGTTCTGGGAGCCTTAATGAAACTATTTTACTATAAATTACAATGGACAACCGAATTCAATAGCGAAAACTTAAAACACAACCACGCCCCGTTAAGCCGCTAAGAAAAAGTTAAAGCGTAGTGATGACAGTGCACGTTAGCATACTGACGTTTCCCTCTCGCCCTCTCTGCAATCTTCACCCCGCGCGCTTCTTACAGTCAGACGCCATTTTGCGCGGGCGCCATATTGCTTGTTTTGTGTCGAAGAGAAGCGTTTGCGTTGATTGATTTCCGCCCTTTAAATCCACAAATACAGTATTATTGACATTGTGCTTGTTTGTATTGATGAAAAGTGTTTGCGTTGATTAATTTCCGCCTCTTCTAATCTACAAATACAGCTTCGCCGGCGTTTTCGTAATGTATCGAAAGTGTTGTGCACCCGAATGCAATAGTTTACGACAGGACGTTAAATTGCATCATATTCCCAAGAACGAGGAAAGGAAAATACATTGGTTAAAGTGTATACGTAGTGAAAATTTTATGGGTGAAACCAAAAACATGCTTGTTTTGCCATAAACATTTCGAGCAAAGGTTTCACACAGCGTCAAATCATCTGAAGATTGGAGCTTACCCTACTTTATTTTACGGATCTGGGAGATATCCCCGGGAAGACCATCAATTGCCTCCAGAGAAAGAGGTAAAATTTACTTCTAGTACCTAAATACTGAAAATTTCTTTCGATTGTTAGTCTATACGTATATGTAAAATTTTATTAAATAGGTATAAAGCAAACTATGTACAGTCAACAGCACATCAAACTACACATTTTAGTTCGAATATCGCCCCCAGTGCTATGGAACAAGATTCATCAGTGTGTAGCTTGATGTGCTGTTGACTGTACATCACACTGACTGGCAGTTATGTATAGAGAAATTTCATTTTCTAGACTTATTGAAGGTGTCTGTTTCTGTAATGTGTTAATGACCTATTATCTATTATTTTTTTAGATATATTCAGTGACCACAGTTACTCAAGGAAGCGACACATTGATCACTCGTATACACTACCTTATGAGCAAAAACCTAATAAAGGTGCACAAACTGAGGTTTCTGGTATGTGTATCATCCTTTTCTATGTTTTATGTGATCGCAAAAGAAGAAGCATATTAATATGAATTATTTCATTGCAGATACATATGTCTTGCCTACAATACCAGGTCAACTTGTGCCCGTTGCATCATCAAGTTCCGCACTGCACTATGCATCAGGTAATATTTGAAGTTGAATAAATAATTATTGTTTATGAAAGCACAAACATATTTTGTTTGTTAACAGGAATACTAGTTTTACTTCTTTTATTATATTTTATAAAACATGTACTGTATCTTTTTAGCCTCAATATGTAAAACACCACGAAAAGTAGTCAAAAGAAGGCTTATTAAGAATGTAAAGGCCTTAACACCGAGGTGCAAACTTTTATACAATGAACATAAAAAGGTTAGAAACCAAAAAGAATACAACACACAAGTCAAAAGGGCACTGACTGGCCTTCAGTAAAACTGAGTGTTTAGAAGAAGTTCTAAATAAGATGAACCCATTGTCGAGAAATGTTCTGTCAATGCAAATGAAACTTTACATGAAAAAAAAGATGGCCAGAAGGTTTACAACCGAAGAGAAACTTATTGCTCTTTCAATTTACAAGCAAGGTCCAAAATGTTACAAGTTTCTCCAAAAGATATTCATTTTGCCTTCAAAATCAACTTTGAAGAACTTGATAAGCCAACTAAATATTGGTGCTGGCATAAATCCACAAATATTCGACCTTATAAAAAATCAGGTAAATATTTAATAATTACTTAGCAAGTGTTGTAAATATTGGTAGTATGTAATAAAATTATGAAAAACTTATATTTTACTATAAAATTACAGGTAAAAAGCTGGGACAGCAAAAGAAGATTGTGTACAGTGCTATTTGATGAAATGTCACTAGAAACTGCTCTAACATATTCAAATTACAAGGACGACATTGTTGGATTTGTTGATTTAAATGGAAAAACCAACAGCTTTACAGACCACGTTCTTGTTTTAATGTTACGAGGCGCTGTCTGTAAATGGCAGCAACCTGTAGCATTGTGTGTACATTGAATAAATTTAAGAAAAAAATTAAAAACAAAAAATTCAATAAATAACATTAAAAACAATTTCTAAGACTTGTTTTATTTATTATAAATTCGAACAGTTTTAATTCTATAGTACAATACAGGTAGCTGGTATGTACCCTGGTGGTACTTGCTGCGGCTGAATAAACGTTACCGTTGCCTACAAATTAAAAAAAAGTATTCCGATGCCGTAATACTATAGATACAGAATATCCACCTACGGGTTATACCAATATTAAAAAAAATAATGTCATGTTCTTAACGTGCACTACGTCTTAAAGACAATATATGGCACTTGGCGGTCTGTTACGTAGTAACTCTTATTAGTTTGTGAACACAACATTCAAAACATTAGGAAAAGACAGAGGAGAATTTTCTTTTTTGTCTTCACAAATGTATAGGTTCGATAGTAAGGAAAGAGATAAACATATGCAAAGTTTGCTATAGAGAATAAAATCGCATCGTTCACACAGGCATTGTACTATCAAAAAACTGTACCTAAACTGCGGCCTTCTGGCAGAGTCAATTGCAGTTTATTTTTTGTAAGGCCAACGTTTAATTTTTAGTGCCTCGTTCAATGACAAGGATAAGGAAATCTTAGAATTTGAAAATATTATCGTGAATTAATTGTAAATAATTTGCTTTACTTTACTAGAATATATATTTTTGTTCTTTTTATGCTAGCTAGACGTAACGTTCACACCGTAATTTTCAAAAATCATTCCGTTCCACGATTTTCATCGACCGATGGCTGCGAGATCACAAGACCACCCATAGACAATTTTTTTTAACATCCATTTGTCTTCTGTCATCAGGTGATTGGGAGTAAAGGAACCCTGGAAAGGGATATTTGAGGGATATACGCAAATAACTCCTAAATTAAAATGTCTCAGAAGGACAGATTACCAATTTTCCCTTCTCGGGGGTAAGTTCACCCCTTTTATATCCATGGAAAAACGTGGGGTGTGTTTAAAGTACATATAAAGAATTATGATGGTGTTCTTCGGTTTTCAGTGCTCAGATGTTGATGAAGCTCCGTCTTGCTGGAGCCCAGAAAGGCCATGGTCTGCTCAAGAAGAAGGCAGATGCTCTGCAAGTCAGATTTCGTATGATTCTGAGCAAAATTATTGAGGTAAGGTAACATACAATTTGCAGTTTATTAATACATTTTCTGTGACAAATTTGTCGTTTTTACGGAATTGTATTTTTCTGAAATTGTTCTTAATTAAGTTGGGGACGAGTTTTTATTTGTCGTTAGTTGAATACACTATTAGTACATATACATGGTAGCCCCACCCTGATGTTTTAAAATGTCTTTTAAGACGCGTAATTACTTCTAGAGCGTTTTAGTGTATTATTGATAATTGTAGTTGTTTTATCTGCATTCTTGTTGTTATTTAAATAATATTGAATACTTTGCTATTTAATGCCTAGACTTGAGGTGGAATCAGTGGTGCTGTCTATACAAACAAAACTGATTATGTGGGTTAAATGATATAAAATAAATGATTACTTAGCAAATTCTGTGGTAATGTGTGTAGATTAAAAAAATAATAATTTTAGCCTAATGCATTATGACCCATAGGTATATGATGCATTACTGCTGGTCTCTAAAGATAAAACATGTACTGTATTTGGCCTTGCTGCAATTGATCAGTTTTTGAAGATTTTATCATGTGCAATTTTGTTTATTAATCACTTACGACACAGGAAAGTATTGTGATGAAACTGCATATTAGAAGAGCTTTTTTGTAAATAACAGAATATAGAAAACTTTTATGTTTGGCCACTATCTTACTTGATGTTAAGCCATGATGTGACAGATGAAGGTACATCAAAAAAAGTGTATTCACTCTGGCTTTGAATATGCCACCATGTATTTTATTCCTTTGGAAGGAGTATGTGTGTAACAATTGTAGTATCATGCGTTATTTATTTATTAATTATATATGTTTTGTGTGTATAAATGAATGTGTAATTGATATAATAGAAATGTGCACTGATATTTCAACATTTAAATATATCATCAAAATGGTGGACAAGGTCTAGGTCAAAAGGTTCAAAATCCTTTTTTTGTAGTATAATGCTATTTCTTAAGAAAAATACTAAATAAACCAAGAACAAAACATATGTGCTCATTGTGATTCCATACTCATGTTGCATTGAAATTAATTATTCCAGACAAAAACCCTGATGGGTGAGGTGATGAAGGAAGCAGCATTCTCCCTAGCAGAAGCTAAGTTCACAACTGGAGAGTTTAATCAAGTTGTGCTGCAAAATGTAACTAAAGCCCAGATCAAGATTCGCACCAAAAAAGACAATGTTGCTGGTATGTTGACACACCTTTACTATTACAATAATGGCTTAGAAAGTTATAGATAATGATACCTTGATGCCTGCATTTTGGAGAATTATATTTTTCTTGTAAATCAAACAATAATCTGCCAAAATTGAAATGAAAACTAAAAGAAAAAAAAGGCAGAGAAAAATTTATTTTGATCTTATTTTTACAATACGTGTAATGTAAAATTAAACATTAAGGTTCAAGATAGTCTTCACACCTGATGCTATTCTGTGGTGATCGAGAAACAAAGGCCTCCAACACCATCCACATCAAAACACAAATTTTTTATATCAAAATAAAACATGTAACACACATATAATTTATCCTGTAAGAATTTGATTGAGTGATTGATTGATATTTATTTGCTTAAAGTATGTTTTACAAAAGGTGGTAAGGGCTTATATAGTAACAGTTTTCAAATTTTACCAAAACTAGCATGCAAATTTAGAGTTACAAATTTAGGATTTAAATATGCCTTTGTGTAATATAATAAACGGCCTCATGTCATAAGTTCACTTTCTGACAGGAGAGCTTGTCAAAGTTTTCGATCTGTGTTTTAAATTTTTAAATAGTATTGTATTTGCAAATACCCATGAATTTATACTTAAAAGATGCGTCTTTCAAACCTCTACTGATTTATAAATATAGATTTGCGCTAGGTTTAAACCAAACCCATAAAAAAGGCGTATAAGGCACTTTAGCATTAAAAAAAGAACTCTGTATTGTGAGGATTATTTTAAAATATTTAATAAAAAGATCGTAAATTATAGTGAGAAAGGTATTAAGCTTATTAAATTATTTTTAAAAGCTCCATGTGAAGCTTGACAAATAAATATAGACTCAAAACTAAAAACACACTTCTAAAACAAAAAAATAAAAGAAACATGCTTTAACACATAACATAAGAATATAAAACACTTGAAACCTGAAATTAGTCTCATCTATGGCACTTTTGGCCAGTTTTAAAATGTTACTTATAATAATTTATGTATTAGGAACTATCAGTTTTATTGAGATCAACTACTGAATGCGTAAAATAACTAACTAACAAACTAACTCGTTAAACTAAAAAAAACATGCTTTAACACATAACATAAGAATATAAAACACTCTAAACCTGAAATTTCTCTCATTTATGGTAAGTTTTAAAATGTTACATATAATTTATGTATTAGAAACTATCAGTTTTATTGAGACCAACTTCTAAATGCGTGAAATAAGTACCAACACGTTAATTTTATTCATTTAATTAACACATTTTCCTTCACTTTCCATTTGAAGAAGCCAAGTCAACCTACCTGTCAAGTATAAAAAAAACAAACTAACATTTAGTTTCGAAGCTTTTTATATTAAAGATTAACATAAAAAACTTATGTGACACCAGAGCTCATGTTGACTGTCTAGAATGGAATCTGAATCACATAAATCATTGGAATGTACTAGATCTTCATCTTCTTCATGAGTGATAGACGGTGCCGCTAAATTATCATCAATGTTGCTTTGATGTTCATTGCTCTTTCTCCTTACCACGCTTAAAATGCGGTGCGCTCTGCTACCAATTCTGTAGAATAAAATAGTAGTTAAATCCATTTAAATATAACTATAATAAAGAACACAAAGTAACAATGTAAATATATTAAAAAAGAAATGTAATAAAGCTGAATATTCGGTTCAGTGAGAAACAGGTTAATCCCTAGTTCGGCAGCAGAGGCTTACATAAATAGCAATGTACAAATTTTCTTAGCCTTATTTTATAATTCTTATTATAATATAGTCTGTACATTTTTGTTTAAGGCAAATAATAATAATTATTATTATTGTTATTAATATAAATATAACAATGGTAAAAGTAGTAAGGTCATGGAAGGTCATGGAACACTAAACCTAGCAAAAAAGACAAAAAAGGGTAAAATTTTAGTAAAGTTAAATATTAGGTACATCTATTAAAATAATTACAATGTATAAAACTCACAATAACACTGAGTCAGATTCAATATAATTATAGTCTTACGTTATTAAATGAAAATGAGTTTATTGTTATAAATTAAATCGTCGAGAACATGAGATAAATTCGCTGTTGGGTAAACAGTACACTGTACTAATGAATTGCGACCGAAGTCGCCTCAGCATTGTTGCCATGATCCTGGTATTTGTTATATGCGATGCAGCTGCAGTAAGGAAAATTGCAGTTTAGTTTTTAAAAATGATAGAAACATCGACTTTAATTCATTAGGCAAAGCAGGCACATATCAAAAATAACATTATAGCAGATAAAGATATAAACCTGTAAGCATTGACTTACAATTATATGGACGTCGGGTACGCGCTAAAAAGTGTCCGAACTTATAGGGCGTTAAAATAGTATATAGAGCGTCATTCACGCTTTAGTCTTCGTTTGTTCGACTGACAGTGAAACAAGCAAAATTAGACAGTACTGCGATGACATTACAATTTAAATTCAACGTTTTAGCTTTTTCATATTCCTTTACATGTCACTACGTTTAAATAGGTTGACTTGGGACATTTTTTTCGTGGTTTTTGTATTAGACCCGTCGTCCATTTATTTGTAAGTCAATCCCTGTAAGGAACATTTTTTCATGCGAAACAGGCACGTAGCAAATACGACACTTTTAGTTTTTTACTAACCCTATAATCATTTGTAATATATATGCAACACAACCGCATCGCTAAATATGATACCTGCGCTATTAAAAAAACATAGAACATAATAATAAATAACATTCCAACAAACTTGTTGGAATGTAGAAGAGTTTTCGCGATACGACCCTTTTGCTCAAAAGTGACGTTCGCTTAATTCTGAAGTGAGCCACGAAAGTGCAAAATGCCATACAGGCATTTGCGTTATTTCGTTATTTATAATGCAAAATCGTTAGGTGTCTTCGTGGAATGTTAAAGATTAGCCGTTTTTAAATACAATTTTGCAATAAAAACGTTTTTCATTTTTTTTCGTGATGCGGCCGTTTAGCATTAAAGCGACGATATATTAACATTATTTTTTTATGTAAAACTATATAACATGCATCATTCATCATTTAGAAACACTTCCACACTTTCAGTCTCGCTTGGATCTATTTATTCAGTTTGATAATGGGAAAAAACTTGTGTTCAGATTGTTCACATTAAATTACGTAGATATGACACATTAAATTTCTTAGGGCTGTACCATACAAAAGTAGATGAAACATTTTGAGATTCAATTTGTTGGCACAAAATTGCAAAAAAATTATAGTTTTAAAGTATCGTGTTAAAAAAAGCCTTTAGGATAATCTATGGAGATTGAAGAATGATAGTAATAAAATTAAGTCATATTTATCTGAAAAAACATTAAACGGCCCTTTGTTTCTTGCATGCCCACTGTAAAAGGAATAAAACATTCTTAAATAATTTTTTATTTTATAATTAACGTTAAAAAAGTTTGATTAAAATACTGTGATGTACCTAGGCTATAAGTATGGAAACCTACTTTTGAAATAGTCTCTAAAGTCTCGTTTTCCGTGGGCATTCGAGGCTGCAAGTCTCGAGTTGAGTCTCGACTTTTTTCTCGAGACGCGGAAATGCAGCGAAGCTGAAAACCCTAATATGTTACTAAAATTAAATATTTGAAAAAAAAAACACTTAAAAACAAATAGTTTTAATTCACATCTAGTCTGAACAGGAATAAATAATTAACAAAGAAGTTGATAATTAATTAAAATTAAACAATTTTCCCAAGTCTAGTTTGCGCCTGTCAAGTTCGTCATAAAATATTAGGTGGCGGTGACTCAGTGCACATGTCTGCACAGATAATAACTGTGTACATACCTTACCTACTTATTTCTCCGGCGTTGTGTTCTGAACTGAAAATTACAGGTGAAATAATTCACAAGAGATATTCTTGATTTCATGAAGTCAAGGACAATTAGGTCACGCTACCAAATATACCTTCTATTTCCTACATAGATCACGATGTCATACCATTTAAAAATAATTTTTCAGGTGTATCGCTCCCAATCTTCGAATCATACCAAGATGGTTCGGATACTTACGAGTTAGCTGGTCTGGCTCGGGGTGGTCAGCAACTGGCCAAGCTAAAGAAGAACTTCCAGAGTGCAGTCAAGCTGTTGGTGGAACTGGCTTCTTTGCAGACCTCTTTCATCACCCTGGATGAGGTCATCAAGATCACAAATAGACGTGTTAACGCTATTGAGCACGGTAAGAGTCTATTTAATGAACGAAATTTTATGTCTAGTTCGGTCGATACAGGTTAACTGCCTTAGACTCGGCGCAAGTGAAGGCATAGACTAATTGTTAACAACTCTTTTTGGAATCAAAGCTCGTAATGGCGCGTTTATATACCGATATTATTATGAGGTTAGGCCGGCAGCTCGACCAGGTGTAATAACTGTCAGGCGACTTGGTCGCCTTCGACAAACAACAAGTTTGAACGTATCAACGGCTGTGTACCAATACGATGCGCGTGCTGGGGGCCCCGTAATATCTACAGGATCAGTTCGTTGAACGTTTTGTTGTATGTCTGGGCATAAACTTGTATTTATAATGATTTGGTGATTTCTGTGAGGGCGGCAGGCGACTCTGTGTATAGCACGTCGACTGCGTCGCCTCTGTCAGCCGAATTCGCTCACCGAAGAGGCGGCAGTCGGCTCGGTGTAAACAGCGAGTCAACTCTGCCTTCTTCGGCAAACCGAAGTACTCTGCCGAAGGCGGCAATCAGCCCTATGCAAACACGTCCTAATTCGATCACCGCAGAAAAGTGGATGTGTGTTTTCTATTGTATACAATAAGTACAGGAACTTGAAAGGGTTGTAACCCTAACTAGCCGTGAAGATGTTCACGGCAATGAAATAGGAAACTTCCGGTCCACAAAATTTATTAAAGAATTCTAAAGAAAGGAGTAAGACTGTAACAATAAAAAGGTGTATATAGAAAACAGGTACAACAATATAAAACGCTCCCTAACTTAATGAATAAGTACACTTACCCCAAAAGGGCCGAGAAACTGAATTACAGAAATAGAAACAGAAATAGATACATGAAGGCTGTAGACTTATAAAATGTTAAACATGATTAGCTCATTCCGACTCTTGTCGCGGTCGAGCTGGGAGTGACCGTGGTACGAAAACAAAATGAGAATGAGAAAGAGAAGGTCAATGTTGTCAGATGGGCGGGATCATATTCGGAGCCTTATCGGTTACAGTGTGGGGTAAGACAGGGGGGGTTGACTTCACCTATGCTGTTCAACTTGTATTTAAACGCGCTGATAGAGGAACTTAGCAGCACACGTGTCGGCTGTCATATTGACGGAATATGTGTCAACAATATTAGCTACGCAGACGACATGGTGCTGCTGAGTGCCTCCGTATGTGGACTGGAGAAGTTGATCAACTCTTGTGAAAAGTATGCTCTTGGCCACGGACTGAAATACAACGTAAGCAAGAGCCAGTGCATGGTCTTTAGGGTCAGAAGGAAACCAGTTCCGGATGTTCCAGTTGTTAAATTAAATGGGACGACTCTTGAGGTAGTCAATAAATTCAAATATCTGGGGCATATGGTGACGTCTGATCTTGGGGACGATGATGATATTGAACGAGAACGCAGAGCGCTGTCTGTGAGAGCCAATATGATTGCCCGCAGGTTCGCTTATTGTTCAGCTCAAGTGAAGGTAACTCTATTTAGAGCCTTCTGTACAATTTTTTACACCAGCGCCCTGTGGGCAAACTACACACAAAGGCAATACAATGCTCTGCGTGTACAATTCAACAACGCTTTTAGGGTACTGATGGGGCTGCCCCGGTACTGCAGCGCTTCAGGTATGTTCGCAGACGCGTGGGTGGACAAGCGATGCACTTCCTTGGTGCGTAGGATGCGGGCCAGCGCCAACAGTATCTTGAGCATGATAGCTGGCAGACTTGATTGCGTGTACATAAATAAATGTCGTATGGTACATTTAAATAAAAGGTGCCATTATTATACACCTTAGTTAGTTTATTTGTTTAATTAATTTTAATCTACTCGTTTCAATATAATTTTAATTTCTTAGAATGTATACAACTTTATATTTTAATATTTTATTTTATTTATTTTAATTAATAGAGTCAATTTCAATATGTATAATTATCAAAATAATAATAATAATAATAATAATAATAATAATAATAATAATAATAATAATAATGTAACTAAAGATGTAATGTTGTGGACTGTGTTGTCTGAAGGGAATAAATGAATATTGAATATATTGAAGGAAGATGGAACAATTCAAATTTAAATACATGTAAAATAAAAAATGATAAGATACAAGAGGAGAGAGGCGATACAAAGAGGTGAGATGACGGTGAAAGGAGGTCACACCGTCACAAACTTTTAAATTTATTACCATGCTCATCATTCTTCCTGCAGTCTGAAACATTCCATCCTCATGCTATTAACTTACCTCCCATGCGAAGCTCTTTGCTTCCTCTTCCCCGATGTGTGCGTTTCAGGAAAGGAATATTTATTTACCAAAAGCTACATTCAAATTAATACTTTTAATGTGGTTGGGAGCTAAGAATCATGTAACGCTTCTCTTCCTCGGTCTTTACTCAGCTGATTGTGTTCTGCTGATCCAGTATTCTTGACTGTTTCAAATGTTTCAAGCTACTCAGACTCACTTTCAGCCAAGGACATTGTCATCCTATTTGTGTGCATTGTCAGTTTTAACTTTTACTATTAATCATTATCCCCTGTTTGGTGGTCCTAGAGTGTCAAAATGACAAAACCTTTTGGGTAGGTTTTATTTTACATTCGGGACCATAAACTGAGAATCATAAACTCCCTTTAACGAGATTTGTTTAAAGAATACGTACAAAAATGTACACTACCTGCCTTTTCAACACCGTGGACATCATTATGTAGACCTCACAAGGTTACTTTGCTTGTGCAGTAATCATCCCCCGATTGGAGTGCACCTTGAGTTATATCATTTCGGAACTGGACGAATTGGAGCGCGAGGAGTTCTACCGGCTCAAGAAGATTCAGGACAAGAAGAAAATCATCAAGGACAAGGCAGAAAAGGTAAAATTGTTATACATTGTCAATTTGCACAAAGAAGTCAAGTACTCTAAATTCTGGTTATGTAAAGTAAGTTAGAGAAAGAATGACTAATGAGAGAGTATACTATGAAAGATGATATGGTGACAAGAATAACACATAGAATGCATTGATGGTTTCGTTTTGGGGGTTACGTGCTGTACCATTACAGTTACAGTACAAAATAAAGTAAACATTGATGAAAACGTCATGGGGAAGTTTGACCCCATCGTACATATCTAAATTTGATTAAATTGTCCTCGAGAGGCTAACACCAACTAGAACAAAGGAGCTTGTATGAAAAAAATTGTTGTATATGGCGAAAGCGTGGTACATATGTCAGAATTGTAGACATAAATGTGGGTCATACAAATATTTATTTCGCCCCGGGAATCAAACCCGGGACATCTGTGGTGACCGTTCGGTCACTGAGGCAGTTAATATCGATATCTCCACTACGTCAACTTTATTTTTTGTCCTGTCATTTTTGTAAACAGCCAATTTATTTACTAATATTATCCTATCCGAAGTTAGTGGAAAAAAGAAACAAAAAACAAGTCGGAAAAAAAGAACAAAAAATCGAATTTGGTGGAAAAAAATAAAGAAACAAAAACCGAAATAAAAACAGAAAAGGTCCAAAAATTAAGTTTGCGCAGTGTGCATTGGAGGTATCGATATTTTATGCATGTTTGTAATCTGTTTGTAAATCATTAGATTTGTCATTGACTTACAAATAAATGAACGAGACGGGTCTAATACAAAAACCACGAAAAAAATGTCCCAAGTCAACCTATTTAAACGTAGTGGCATGTAAAGGAATATGAAAAAGCTAAAGCGTTGAATTTAAATTGTAATGTCATCGCAGTACTGTCTAATTTTGCTTGCTTCGCTGTCAGTCGAACAAACGAAGACTAAAGCGTGAATGACGCTCTGTATACGATTTTAACGCCCTATAAGTTCGGACACTTTTTAGCGCGGACCCATATAATTGTAAGTCAATGAGATTTGTGTTTTATAGTAGATCAGATTTAAGATTGTGTGTCTGGTAGATGTGATTTTCAGCACCAATACAGACGACGAACTTTTTGTTCATCGAGCTGTCAAATCTCTTACTACGGTCAATAAGAGTGTTTGATGGACAAAAAGTCTATCGTGTGCTTTGGAAGTAGAAAGTGGTTTGATCTATTGTTATGCCTGAACTTAAGTAAAGTCCGTAGTTTGTCCTTTAATAGGTTTATCAGAATCTCATGACAAATGGGGGAGTTGAAAATTGTTTATAGCAACACTTGGCATAGTTTTTATAAACGTTCTTGATAATAGTGATGCATAACTCATAACCTATTATTTGTTGAAATGTACTCGATGGTGGAGGAAACACGGGCTGCATAGAATTTGATTTGTAACAAAACAAATATAGTTTCACTATGCAAACATAAATTATTATTGAAGGTATATTAATAAACTGTAACAGACTATACTAGGTGCACATGTTTTTTAAACAAATTCAAAAAAGGAGGAGGTTGTCAATACGACTGTATTTTTTTTTGTGTGTATGTTTTTCTATGTGTTTCTTCAAATTTGAATGAAACCACTACTCTTTCCAACAAAAAAAGAATCCTCAAAATCGGCTCATGTATGAATTATCGTATAACATACATACAAAAAAAATAATAAAGTCGAATTGCGAATCTCCTCCTTTTTTGAAGTCGGTTAAAAACAAAAGGTGACTTCAGCAAAATCGTGCAAATCAGAGATGCTAAGTTGGGATTACCGTATGAAATTGTTTTCTATTTCCTTTCATTATATTCTAAATTCTAGTCTCAATTTTCTATCCTGAAGTTGCCCAATATGAATTCAATACATTAATTACTAATCCGTATGAAATGCACCACTATGTTTCATTGAATAAGTTTAATTATTCATGATGTTCTGGTAGACGTTTAGAATGTTTATTAGACATATAGTCCCGTCGTCCTATGATATGATAACCAAATTTATTATATAGGGAATGCAACTGTTGTGTCGTTTTAAATTAAATTAAATTAAAAAAAAAAGACTGGTCATGTATAAAAACTACAAAATTACCTGATTTTAGGACCGCGAAGGAGAACCAGAGGTAACAAGTGTTGTTTCGTTGGAATTTTGTGTACTTGTTGTATTGTATTGTTGCTATAATTATCTTCTTCAAACAAATAAAAAGTTTTAATTTTCTTCATGTTGCGGACACTTTGAATACTCTGGCAAAATCTTTAAGCATTTTTAAATAAAAAAATAGATAAAGCATGACGAATTTAAAAGATTTCTTGTGATCGTCGTGTGATATTTTTTGTTTTTCGTAATGACTCTGAGTTTGTTTTTGCACTGTATGTAGGGGCAGCTTGTTTACTATCTTGATCTTTCAAAAAATGATTTAAGGACATCTCGTTTCTATTTCCAATTCATTCCGACAAATAAATCAGTTTATTGATCACAAATTTTTAAGTTTTTTTTATTTAATATCACAATATTTGACCACCATGATATTCATTTATATTTTTGTGAATTAACTCCACTAGTTTGTTATAATAATTACAACAAAGATTGAACACTAAGAAAAAAAAATAGTTCGTGATTTTCACTGCTTTTTTACTGTAGCGCCATCTGTGAGAAATCTATTTCTTCACTCAGCCATTTACAGTCTTTTAGTTAAAAACCAATAGAAAAATTACTTACTTGGCATAGCGTCTGCCACGGTTTGAACGTCTTCCAGACGTTGGTGTGAATCTAACCGGATCGAAGGTTAGATAAAATTCTAAGTGTTCGACCTTTGTATTAATAATTATTGATCACTAGTTTTGAAAAGCACATTATGTATTCCATTATGAGCCGTAATTTCTACTGTGCTGCATTTCGTAAAACGGTGTTAATGGAAAATTTGCCAAGTTCCAAAATTTTAAACTATGAATGCAGCATGCTTGAAATGCTTTCCTATTGCAGGCTAAAGCAGCCAAGAAAGCTGCCGGGCAAGATATACGCGACGGCTCCGCAGCTAACCTCCTCGAGCAAGAGGATGATGATATTATATTCCAATAATTTTCGCCAAACAAAAAAAAACGCATAGAAAAGCATTTATAGTGTATGTCCAGCTATCCACTTCTACCCTCTTCTGCAATGTTTGTTTATAAAAAATAGCACTGTACGTGTAGTGTACAGCGGTACCCGCTTTCGTAGTTTCCATTTTTTTTTCCCTAGTATCATATTGAGGCATGTATAGAGAAAATAAGATGCTACAAAAGAATCGAACATATTTTATTGCACCTTTGAATCGCATGTTTACCAAGTGCTACGTTGACTTTTGATAATGGAGCGTGCACAAGTATTCTACAATTTTTGTTTGACGTAATTGTTATTGGGGAAAAAATGGGCCAAGTCCATCAATGTAGAGAAAAATGCTTTTCTATTGCAGTTAAAGGCGGCAAAGCTCGCCGCAGCAGGATTGGACGTACGTGACTCTGTTGCTAACCTTTTGGACGAAGGTGACGCCGACCTTCTATTCTAAGACCGTTCGTAGCTTGATTTGGCAAGTTGTTAGTAGCGTGCAGTCAAGGAACTTGGCCTGGTGACGCGTAGGAAACTAAATATATTACATTTAAATTGACTTCAATAGTTATATGGGAATAAATTCAGAATCGCTAGGGTTCACAAGTTATTCATTACTCCCAAAAACATGAAGTCGTTATATATTAAATAAAAATAATGACAATATGAACACGCAGGTTTATAATTGCAATGGTTGCACAGAAATGACACCAAAAGAGAATAAGTATGAAATTTAATAAATAACATTGTCGTGTTAATGTGTTCAAGCCCATCCTGCTGTGTTCAAAATGCATTTCCAATATTATTATCCTAATAGAACTTGGCTGCACATTTTATGATATTATGTACTATATTGTTCAGACGGCTAATCTTGTAACTTGAGGCGTTCAAGTACTGATCAGAGCCAGCATTGCCATTTAATTTGCATCTATCATAAATACAAGTTTTTTATTATAACTTTGTTGCGACATTAGCAGAAATGTGTCAAATGAAAGTAAGCCTAGGAATTTATTTTTTATTTAAAATAAAAGTCTCGGAAATTCTGGAATTTTCACCGACCTTAGCCATAATTTTTAGAATATTTTATTAAAACTACATGGACACTGGCAGAATTATCCTCACTGGGACAGAAGCCAAAAGCTACAAAAAAAAGTAAACCTAGTGTCATACTGGTATTCAGCCGCATAATTTTCACATTTCCCAATTTTTTCAACAAGAGCTGTTATGCTACCGTCGAAATCAAATTCTCGATAATATTCGTCTATGGTTGTGAGAAATTGGAAACAGCCCAAATTACGCGACTGTATCTCGGTAGCTGTACTTATGAATGAAATGGCAATACTGGTTCTTTTTCACTATCGACCAGCCGGTGCTTTGTAAATAATATTGTTCACAGTGTATCAACTTAACATAATATTATATAACGTATGTTAAGTTTAAATGAATAGAAATCGGGCTATTGGACGTTAGTAAGCGTTGTCGTATTGTATAAGAGCATTCCGACACATTGTTTGTGTAGTTTTCAGTAAGGATAGCTTTTTAAAATGCTACAACAGCATAAAAATCAGTATAAGTACATCCGTTAAAGTATTTATGTTATTTTGAAATTGTTGTTTAATATGTATTTTTAAGTACCTACTTAAGCAATCATGTAAATACAAGTTTGTGAAATGAAATAAAATATTATTATTGAGGAAAATGTTTCTTTTACTTAATTTACAATTTGTCGTATTTTTTTTTTACAGAGGAGCTTTGTTTATAGATCTGTAATTTAATTTCTATTTTTATTAATGACACTCGAATGTCTTTTTACACTTTTTTTTGTTAGCACACTAACATAGTTACTGTTAAAGCCAAAAATTTAGAAAACAGCGAAGAGGTCACACCATATCTGACACGAGAGGAATGATTTAGGCGGTTATCACACTGCACCGCGCCCCACGACGGAGCGCGAGACGCGGATAACGCGCGCGGTAGCGGAGATGCAGATCTGCGTCAACGCGCGGTTTAATCTGCGCGGGGGCAGCGGTCTAGCAGCCCCGCGTCACTTAAAGTACTCGCTTCGCAGTTAATCCCCGTAGTGATTGTATATGTAGCCGAGATCCTTTTTTGACAAGAACGGTTAATAATACAGAACTCATTCAGGTCACTGCAATTATACTGTCTATTTAGTTTTTGTTTACTCAAATAAAAAGACACAAATACATCCCTTTTTACGAACCAGATCGATAAATGGATAATTTCAACTTCATTACAAAGATTAAGAAAATATGAAGATAAATTTGGTCGATTTTCAATAGCAAATATACATTTATCGACGTCGAGATCTATTGTAGAAAACTGAACATATCCTTAAGCTTAAAAATCTGCGCGGTAGTGCGGAGCGCAGTGTACCCTACCCTGCGGTTCGCCGCGCCTCTCCACGCGGAGAAGCGTTGTCAGTGTGTTCGATGGCGCGTGTTTTCCGTACAAAATGACGTACTTCAGTACAGCGTTAAAAAACCCTGCTCCGCACTCCGTCGCGGGGCGCGGTGCAGTGTGATAATCGCCTTAAGGTTCAATTTATATTGCGGCGAAACGGAATGGAAGCGAATTTTTGTAACAATATTGTATATAGCGTAATGAACTTTATAGTTGAACGTTATAGTGAATTGTGTAACGTATAAACTAGATACGAGCTAAAATCACGTCGCGAGATTTGGAGAGAAGCGGCGCGATGGCCTGTCTTGTGACGTCAAACGACGAAATACTACAGCCTCAAGACGCGGTCGTTGGAATGCTCGAGCATTTGCGGGAATGTTCGAGTACTCTAGCGAAATTCCGTTCCGTCACAATGTAAATTGAGCCTAAGTTTGTCCTCCTATTAAAATACATATCAATGGAGGACAAAAAATAATTTAGAAGACACTATAGGCAAGTAGGTGTAAGGCCGGCGCCCATTGTCGCGACGGTGCTTGGGATGTGACGATTTACAGTATACCTTAAAAGTATGGTGTTATGGTTGAAATTTCGGTTCGTTGCCACTACTTCTATTGAGTAGTTCTTTTAATTTATATTTCAAGAATAATAGAACTAGTGGTAAAAAATCATTCCAAGCAGTTACATTGGCTTAGTTCTATTTTTATCCCGAAAATAATAAATAATATTTTCAATGACAATAATCATAGCAGTAGTAAAAAACGAAGCTGTGTTAAGTTGAAGGCTTATTACAGTACCCGATTTCAAGGGACCCTACCATTAACATAGGGAGGGGGTAAGCCCCTATTTAGGGCGACTGAAATAATTAATAATAGCGGCGTCCTAGCTGGGGGCCATGCTCACCCTTGAAATCTGGTAGTGCAATAAGTGTTTGTGGGATACCGAACTAGCAGTCTCCGGAATGCCTCGACGACTGCGGGTGTGTAGAGGCGACGGAAGGCAAGCACGGCAAGTTAAAATAGACGGTATGATTCGGCATGCCTAAGGATGCGACGTCATGCCTAAGGAAACGTGGCAAAATTGACGCCAATGGGCGCCGGGCTTATTCAGGACTATAAAGGAGTGTTGCGAAAATAAGTAGGTAATAAAAAAGGCGGAACCTTTTCGTTTTCTAAATCATTACAAAATATAGACAAACACTTTTTTGGTGGTTGGTAGGAAATGAAGTTTCTACATTTCAGGCCCGAGGATTGAGTCTTCGTTTCAGAAAGTACTTATTATCTCGTTTTTGAAGTAAACCGAACTCCACCGCTGTGCGTAACATGGCTCCGATACGTTTACCAACCCGCTCTGAATTGTTCGAGCGTGTGTGATGAGTTTTTAGGTAACGTATTATTGTCCTTGCGGTCAAACCGTTACTGGACGGTATTTTGTGAAAAACCCATAATACTATGGCAGCAGGGTTGGATTTTTTTAGCCCCCACATGATTCTCCGGTAGGATTTTGATTGTACAGGTTCATCTCGATAGCGTTTGTCATCGTCACGAGAAGAATCGCTGCATTTCGTACGATTCGTTGAACGGCAGCGGTCTGAGCAAGAATACCTTTTACTGAACCGTTTATTGCTTCTCCCTAGATGTCTCCTCTTAACAAGTCCAACATTGTATTTCTTACGCGCCGGCATTATTATTACAACTTCAAGTCCAGCATTTAGAAACCGAAGAATGCCTGCAAATAGCCGATGTAAGGTTTACGATGAACTACTTTGTTTTTTAGCTCCTTATGAAGAATTTCGTATGTTTTCAATTTTCAATAACTTTCAATTGAATTGTGTGCAGTACGAGTGTCAAAATTGTGGCAACCATAGACAGCAAATCCGTGTTTCGTTCCGTGGCTTAGTTGGTACAGCGTCTGGCACGGTAAGCTAGAAGACGTCGATTCGAATCCGGCGGGATCGAAGGAATTTTTTCTGAGTATTCGATCTTTGTATTAATAATTATAACAAATTAGTGGAGTAATTTCATAAAAAAATTCAAAAACATAGACAGCAAAATTGATGTTCTTCGGGACAGGCTTAATCTGCATATTACCTAGAGAATTCATTTTGGGCAGTTTTTATTCTCTTGGATCGATAAAACAGGGTATTTGCCGACTTTGAATAGTAACATTGCGCTTTGGGCAGATTTTTAACCGACTACAAAAAAGGTGGACGTTCTAAATTCGGCTATATATATATTTTTTGATGTTACGCTATTACCTACTCTGACATATTTTGTGAACAGATTTCGACGATCCTTCTTTTGTTGGAAAGGGGTATCTACCTCAGTGAATTCAGTAGACTCAGTTCTCAATCAAATTTAGAATAGAATAGCATAGAATAGAATATAATGGAATGGAATGAAATGGTATGGAATGGAATGACATGGGATAGAATAGATAGACATTGCAATTTGAAGAAAATGTTCCATCTATAAGGACGATTTTATCAAATTGGGGAATTAATGAGTTTTCACCAAGTTTCCGTTAACCGATTTCAATAAAACTTTGCGAATACTTGGATGTAATTCTACAAATTTTTGAGGTAGATTTTTTATGTGTAGTCGGTTTTCATCGAGTCACCGCCGCGGAAGTTCATGATCGAGGACCACGGACTGGTTTGAAACAATAAATACGTGACTAGGTACCTAATCTGTTAGTTCAGATTATTTCTGAGTCTCACGTTAGTTCTCTATATAACACCGATATATGACTGTCACAAAAGGAGGCTGTGGAGCGGGTGCGCGAGGACGCGGCGGACGCGCACCCGCTTCGGCACAGACGTACGGGGAGAAGGCGACGGCAGTTCGCTGCTCGCCTGATCCCCTAGTGAGGCCAGTGGGCTCTGGACAGGGACTCCGAAGCCTGCGTTGCACGGCCTCACTCATCTGGGGGCGGGTCGGAGGACAACTGACCTGCCCTTCCCCTTCCCCTGAGAGTCCCCACATAACCCCTGAGTCTCCCTGGGCTCTGGGGTATCTATAAAGATTTCCCCCGTAAAAAAAAAGGTAGGTACTAACTAAGGGTCGTATTCCAGAACTCTACTCAATGTTCAAGTCAGGATTTGAGCAGACTTGAGTATGATTTCAAGCACTGGAATTACGACCTTAATGGCAAGGACTTGAGTATGATTTGTGCTCACTGCAGTGAGTAGAGTTCTGGAATACGACCCTAAGTATCGAAACCATGTCTATTTTCGTTCAAGACTTAAGGTGCTTTTCCACCGGCGAGGCGAGATGAGGAGAGACGACAATTGAAATCTCGCCGGCCGATTTCCACCAAAAATTACCGCCTACATAGAGTATTACCTATACTCTGCAATGGAAACACGATTTTTCGCTGAGTGTGGATAGTGCTATTATATTTATTTTTTATTTTATTATATATATTCAGTGCTATTCAGTTAATCTAGCGATAAATAAGCGACTGGCGTATCATGCCGTAAATTATTATTATTAAACATGTACAAGAATCAGATGAAACCATATTTTTTAAAATCGTACCCACAATCTCGCGATCGATATTAATAGCCAAGGCGAGGTTGCACAAGCTCGCACGAGACCGTGCAGGAATTCGTATTTCCGTTGTAGATTATAATACTCTATGTAGGCAGCAATACGGTTCAATATTACATTAACAAATATTTCAATTCTCTCCTGGCTCATCCTCGTCAATCCTAATCATGTCCACCGAAGATGGGCTAGGAGAGAATTTAAATTTTCTAATAAGTACAAATTTCAAACGTCGTCTCGCCTCGCCGGTGGAAAACCACTTTTATTACTCTCCATCAAATTTCAATCGTTCCCCATTCCACAAGTCCGACAGTCGGTCAGCTTCATATTCCTTCATTTACACAACAGCTGAATAGTTTAGTCGATCGATCCAGTCAACAGTTAAGTCGAGCGAATAGTCGACATACAAGAGAGTTAGGCACAGAATGGAACATATCCGGTAACCGGGGTGAATTATTGCAACTTCATTTACTATGACGCGAAGCGTGTATCACGAATCGCTATGAACGTGAAACGTGTTTTGCTTTTATGCCTGTTTCAGTGTGTTCTGTTATAACTTGCTATTGTTAAGGCATGTGTTAATAATTTTCACTTGTAGTTACGTATGTTACATTTTGTTAATAACAATATTACTGAAGAATGCACTTGTTGAGGGGAAGGCAGACTGGTAATTACTAAGTCATTGCGTTTCCGCGTGAATATCAAGTTACAACTATAAAGGCTTT